CTATACTTGGTGTTGCAGTAATTATTGGTGGTTGGGGATTAAAAATAGGGCCACATTCCCTGCTGCCCCCATTTACATTTGTTAATTCACTACCACCTACTTCCCCACCGGTCACATGTTGATTAATAGGCCCCACATCCTCAAAATTAGAGTCATTGCAGACAGGAATATCTATTGTGTCACCATCATTTAACAATACTCCAGGTCTAATAAATCCTTGTCTTGTTTTAATTCTACCACTTTGCCACCCTTAGAAGCAACAATATAAGTTGTCCCTAACTTTTTAATTCCAAAATCTTTAGCAATATCTACTAGTTCTGGGATAGACAGGTGATCAAAGTCAATGTTGAAGGAATATTCAATCCTAACCCCAACAAACAGTGGCCCTACTTCACTCACCAACATCCCCCAAATTTCCATCTTAAATTAAAGTATTTAGAAGCCATTGGACAACCTACATCCACATACACAATTCATCAAGTCTTAATTAATTCATAGTTGCATGAAAACATAAGCTTCAACAAAAAACAGTAACAAAAAAATGGAGAAACATCCAAAAGAAGTAACATTTAAAGAGAACATCTATAGTTAACAGTAAAACAAGAGAAACAACTAAATAAATAAAAAATACAAGTACTATACATGAAAAACCTTCACTTTAACAGAGAAATATTTTAATATGTTTTGTTATAAACTGAAATGGAAGAAAAAGCCCTACTCTGTCTCCAAATAACTAAAATATTCCAAAATATATACATGTAGACAACCCTAAATATAAAAATAAAATAAAAAACCCTAAAATTTGTTACTTATAACAGAAAAACCTCAAGTGCATGCGTGCACAAAATCAAGTGTTGTAGATACAAAGATTCCAATTTTAAAGGCCCTAATTCATCTTCATTTAAGATTGAAATCATTATCGAGATTCAACTCTATCATATTTCAACCCTAATCATAAAATCAAGTTTCAATCACTAACCTTTAGATATGTCTACTTGAATATACGGAGAAGACTGCTGAGAAGCACTTGAAATTGGAGAAGAAATCGCAGATAATCGGCAAACAACCACACTTGGGATCCTTTTCACTAGATTGGAAGCCACCCACACTGATTCAACTCCAAAATCTAACTAAATATGACTGAAAAATCACCTAAACTAATTTATCATAAATTTCTAAACTAATGTAAATCGAAAGGAAATCTTAGGGAAAATGGGGGAAATAGTGAGAGGATTTGAGAGAGTTCGAGAGAGAGAGAGTGGGGAGAGGAGTACTGACTACTATGGAGAAAAATGACCGACCATTCCTAGTAATATTTTACTTTAATTCCTTTTTTTCTTTTGTCTGTGTATATAAAGTGTGCGTTTGGACATAAAAATGGTAAAATTCCAAAAGAAAAAGTGAAATTTTTTTAAAAGTGAAAATGGTCTTTAAAAATTAGAGTTATGTTCGGACATGAATATTATTTTGGGTTGTTTTTAAAATTTTGTGAGTAATTTGAGTGAAAAAAAATTGAAAAACAGTTTTTTAGAGTTTTTAAAATTTTCAAAAAATTTCAAAATTCATTTTCAAGTGCAAATTGAAAATTTTATGGCCAAAAATTGATTTCGGAAAAAAGTAAATTTTTTTATGTCCAAACGGGCTCTTATAAAATAATATTTTCTTTGTCCTATGTGGAGCACANGTCGGTTATTTTATAAAATTTGTACCATATCAATTTTTCGGTTATTCTATTATGTATAACCAAATTTAGACTTTTAAAAACCGTACCAATCATGTCAGTTTCTCTTCGGTATTGGTACGGTCCGGTTAATTTTCGGTATTCTTTGAAATGTCACTTAAAAGTCACAACATACGTACTTTTATAGAACTTATCAAAACTCGATATTTTTACTACTTAAAGGGTGATGAATAAAAAAAAACATGAAAGAATACCAGAGTATAGATCCGTCAACTATTCTACAGTAGCGTAAAAGAAACTAAGAAAAGACAAAGAAAATATAAATCACATTAGTGGAAAGATATTAAGTAAGTTGGGACTCAAGAATAAAATCATTGAAGATTAAATATTCGAAAATATAAATTTAAATCATACGAAAGAAAAAATATTAATACATTGTAGGTTGCAACTCATAATCACTAGAATACCTTGTGTCTTGTTAGTGAATATGTTGGAAATAATTTAGTTTCAACAATACTATAATAGTTTGGGAATTAGGATTTTGAGTTTAATTACTTGTTGATCTTGTAACCGTTTTCATCATTTTAAGGCCCCCAAAAAATCAATATTTTATTATTTTTCAAACTTAATGTATATTATATTTTTTTCTTGTAAATTTATTCAGTACGGTTCTGTATTTTTTCAGTTTATTTTCATAAAATAAAAAACTTATCTTAATTATTGGTACAGTTATAGATTTTAAAAAAATCTACAGTTTTATTAAAAGAAAACTAAAAATCGGTTCGGTACGGTTCAGTCGATTTAGTCGGTTTTTAAATATCCATTGACACTCCTAGTAATTAGGATCGGACATAGTTCGGGGAGGACAGTAATAATCTGAGCCAAGTTTAAAGGTGGTTTAAGGTATTTTCCCATAGTTAGGGGTCCGTCCAATCTGTAAGCCACAGTTTTGAGAAATAAAACGTTAAGGGATTGTTTGGTTTGAACACAAGTTATGCTAGTCATGTTGGGATTAGTTATATTTAGATGAGTTATGATGAAGTTAGTTATATTTAAACTATTTGTTATTGATTATTTGGTATGTTGTATTAATTTTGGTAATATCAATTTTACTGTTTTATCCAGAGATTACTATTCCATCCTCTGACACATATAATTCAAGATTAATAACCAAACAAGGGATAAGACTGTACTAAATTTTTATCTCAGAATTATTTTTGTTTATCCATCATATCAGACGACCTCTAAGGGGTGTACTTTGTTCAAAATTTTTGAAATGAGGAGCTGGAGATAATTAGAGGAGTTGTTTTACTGAAACTTGACTTATAGAAAATTTATCTTTTCCTTAACAACAAAGTCTGGGTGGTGTAGTTGGTTATCACGCTAGTCTCACACACTAGAGGTCCCCGGTTCGAACCCGGGCTCAGACATAATATTTTTTTACTTTTTTTCGTACCACACATGCTGCTACCGAAGTTTCTCACATAAGCTAGGAGAGGAAGTCATGAAGTGTGGAGGATAAAACTCAAAACTGCTACAAGAATATGATACAGTTCTTGTTTATTCTACCTAGCAGCCACAAAAATATTAGTATGTTCTTTCATCTAAAGTTCCAGGGCTGAACAACCACCATTCATATTGTATCACCAAAAATATGAAAGTTGAGTTTTTCAATCTAATGCTGAAATAGTAGGAGACAGGCAGCTATTGTAACACCAGAGTATTAACAGCCAAAACTTCAATCTTCTCCTCGAAAAGAGAGACCGCGATAACTGAAAAATGCTTCCTGAGTTATGTCTCTTCTATTATGTTACAAAGAGTACATGCTTCTCATGAGGTTATACACGAGATGATACATGCTTTCTGTAAGCCAATTTTGAAGTCATTGAATATAGAAGTTGTACTTCAAGTGTTTTATTTTTTCTACAACAAATACTTTGTACCAACCCTATATTTACACATATGGGGAGAGAAATAAGTCATGTATCGAGAGTCCCTCTTTCTGTACAGTAGTTGAAGTTATGATAGAGAAAATGCTCTATACACACATACTTCAGTCTTCGTTTAAGTCGTAGTACTTCCTATCATCCTATGAGGTTGGCCAACCATTTGGAGAATGTTCACTAAAACATTTCTTTCTTTTGGCATTTAATCTTTCTTGAATCTGCTTTTCGTTTGCCATTGCTTCTTGGATGTTGTCGCGAACAAGCTGACAGAGCTCATCAAGTGCAAGCATTGGAAATGGCTCCTCGATAAGGACACCAACCTGCAAAAATGGACATCCTAGTTTTGGTCAAATGTGAATTAACTGATATTATTTGTCATCCTCTACGCCCCTCCCTTGTCCAGAAGGTTACTAACCAAGCTGTGACCTCAGTATTGAACAGTGTCAACGCTCCAATCAAATAGAAATCTTCAACTGTATTTCTCTCCTCTTTATTTTTATTATTTAACCTTTTGCAAAACAAGGAGGAATACACATAGGCCTTGATTTTGAAAACCAAGGTTACAGTATCATGAACTCCTGGGGCCTCGGACAATTCATCGGATACTCTATGTAATAAGACCATTAAGTTTAGCACTCATATATAGCAATTTAAATTGAAGATGATATCAGCTGGAATGCCCCCACAAACTGAAACTTAAGATAAATAATAATATGTTCGTTTCATGAGGGGAGCTAGGGGAGGATGGGGATTTATCCGAACACCCTTCGCCGGAAAATTATAGATCAAATTTGATTTTTATGTACATCTTTAGATGATGAATCCCCTTGGATTCTTTGCATGTTTACTTATTTTATTTTTTAACCCCTCTTGGTGAAAATCATGCCTCTGCCATTGTACATATTGAAGAGTACGGCTCTTCAAGCTGTGACATTTTAATATAGTCTTGCCTTCAGACAAAGTGATCTCTACTGCAGGAAGTAATTATATCACAAAGTATTAGTTCCTCTGGTTAATTGAAGAAAGTGAAATCTGACCTCTTCAATGCAGAATAAGGAAGCAGCACTTATGAAAGTAGCTGGAACCACAATCCAATGACAATCGTCCCAAAGTATTATAGGAAGAGTGAGATGCCAAAGGACCAAGAACCTTGAAGTCAACCGAGTGTATGAAAGCGGAATAGGTATGCCCGCGAGTTGTTCACATACACCAATACCTTCATGGAAACAAGAAATCTTTGACTCCTGCACTTTTTAAAACCACAAGTCATTAGGTCGAACTCTTAAGATTATCCTGCAAGTGACGAAATCAATGTGATTTAGCAAATGAAGCTCCTTCTTAAAGAGATTTCTATGGTCGCTGTTTACACTGGTCTTCTAATACACCAAAATGAAAAAGAATTAAAGCTGAAATAATAAGATGTAAGATGTAACCCCTGTGTAGCCTTTCTACTTCATAAAAGAGAACATCTTCGTTAAGAAAAATTACCAGCTGAGTCAGCTTTGTTCCCTCCAAGTTTAATGACTGAAGGCACTGAGAGATGAACCCAATGACGCAACGAGGGCGATGCTTAGAACTGAGAACTAATGCTAGATCATCAGCCTCAAGTAAGTTTTTGAGATCACTTGCTATATCCGAGCCGTATGTTATGTGGCACTGCATAAAAGTATTGTAATCTTAGTGTTTAATACTAAGGAACATTATCCCTTTGCTTATCATAGAACATATATTCTGCTTTTAAGTGCATAAGAACATATAGAATAAGACTTATCAATATATAGGTTGGCAATGAGCTCAAAATACCAGTTGTTCCATGTTTAAAAAGTAAAATAAGGATTTAAAGCTTCTACAATTTTATGGTCATTTCAGTTAATATACAACAACAATAACTGTGATAGAAGGCCTTTTGACGCAGTTTGAGAAAGTTTCTTTTAATTATCAATGAACGATGCAGAGACCAGGTTAAATCATCAAAACAAGGAGGAATACACATAGGCCATTTGGATTTTGATAAAGCCTATACTTAGGCCATAGAAATTTTGAAAATAATCCACTTAGCTCTTTTAGGCTACTATCCAGTTAATAAGACATTCTAAACTATCTGATCATTGCATTAGCCAGCAGATAGCAGACTATTCCCAATTTCACTTGTATTTAGGAATTTATCCTAAGTTTTGTTCTCTCTTATTTTTTTTATTCGTGACAGAACAAGTTGCAGAAACACCAAAATTCTCCATTTATCACAATGATCTATGAATTTCTCTCCTACACAGATCGCAGGGAAATACAGTAAACCCATAGAAAGAATCATCAACAACAACAACTATGTCTCAGTCCCGAAAAAAGTTGGGGTCGGCGATATGAATTCTCACTTCTTTCTTTAAGCTCAACTCATATCACCATCATGCCAAAATAAAATAAGAAAAATAGTAATATTTAAAGCCTATTCCTAACTATTAAGTATCGCCTATATGGATATTTTTCTTCCATTGTGCCTTATCTTTAGCTAAGTCTGCACTGATTCCAAGAATTTGTAGGTCTTTCGAGACAACTTCTTTCCATGTGATGTTAGGTTTACCTCGCCCCCTTTTAACCCCATAGCAAGAATGAATGAGCAAAATTGAAGGCCTCATATAAAAAGGTATGGTATGTATGCACAGATCATAGTGAGCTAAATCGATTAACTATACGAACGTATATACCTTCAAGGCAACTGGAAATGCCATGATATACTGTAAAAGTGCTTCTTTGAGCACAGCATCACTCTTATCAACACAAGCAATGACCTGCCTAGCAAAATCATTGGTTCCAGCAATCACTTTAGTCCAAGCCTTCTTCCCTGTTTCGAACCTCGAGTACGATGCCTCTGTCCTAAACACCAAAAGAAGCGCCAGAGCTGGAGCTGTCAACTGATATGGCAGTGGACTAGCTCTCAATACAGGGAAAAACTCAGGCAACCAATGCATTGAAACAGCAGAATTATAACTAGCAATCACTACTGCCACTGAAGTAAAAGCTATAACCGGAGTAACCAACGACAAAATAACACGCGAATTCAAGCTCGAAAACAAGTGCCTAACATGCCTCAAAGAACTTCTATGTTGCACCCAACTTTCATGTTTGTATAAAGATCTCTTCTTTTTCATACCTTCTTCTTGAATTCTGTCAGCCCAATCAGGTATTATACGAAGAATTGAGATAAGGGCAGAAGTTGAATTTTGATTCTCTGGAGTTTGTTGAGGGCAACAACGGACTTTGAAAGTACTGAAACTGAACTTCTTGTAGCTAAGTTTGGAAGGGAATGATTGTTGTTGTAATTTTGAAGGTAGTTTGAGGGTAAAATGGGAAGAAAAAGATGCATTGGTTGGAGATTGAATGCTGAAAAGGGTTCTTGAATTTGTCATTGATGATGGGAATTAGGGTTTAGGGTTTGGAAATGGGGGAGGAAGGTGACAACATGGGAGTGTACAAAGAGTGAAGTGAAGAGTTCTGTTTAAGGAATGTAGTGGATACTGGATTAGGTAGTTGGTTTGGTAACGGTTAATTTGTGAATCTGGTTTTTTCACTTATTCCTAGATATGAATTAAAAAAAGAAAAAATAAAAGAATTGTTGGTGTCACAGCAAGGTGAGTCAATGTCTATAGCCCATTTTAAGCTTAACACATCATTATGATAATCCAAATCGTTGCCCAATTGATTTGGTGTTTGACTCAATTGAACTAGTCGTCAAATTTAAGGGTAAAAATAACACGGGCTAGCTAGTTTTCGAACTGGTCATTCAAAAATGGCCAGCGTTTGCAAAATCATTGAAAAATAGTTATTATTTTGTTGCAACACGGAAAGTTCCAGCATAATATACTGAAGATCGGTGCATCTGTGTATGAACTTCCAGCATATTATGCTGGAATTCCGATACGCGGAAAGTTCCAGCATAATATATTGGAAATTGGAGCACCTATGTATGAACTTCCAACATATTATGCTGGACCGGTATATTATACTGGAACTCCAATATATTATACTGGAACTCCATTATATTATGCTGGAGTATTTTTCAGATTTTGAACATTGTTTTCATTCAAATTTATCTTTACATGAAAAGTGGCTGAATTTCGATTACTTTTGAAACTGTGACTATTTTTGAATGACCACTTGTAAATCTGGCTATTTTTGAATTTCTGTCAATTTAAGGGTGTGCATAATTTTGGTATATGCTGAATAATCGAATCAGGAATGGGAGCCTGGAGCAATGATAATATTATCTCCATGTGACCTATAAATTACAGGTTCGAACCGTGGAAGTAGTCAACTGTTCATATCACATCCCTAGGCCTGCGGCCCTTTCTTGGACTCTGCATGAATATGAGATGCTTTATGCACTAGGCTGCCCTTTTACTGAATAATCTAATCGAAATAAAAAGATTTATATTATGGTTTTGGTAGCTAATATAATACTATGTATTTGGCTTAAGTTTTTAAAGATTTCCATATTCGATATTAAGAAAAAAATATCGAGATATATTCTTACACACATAATACACATATATTGTACTAATCTTAGGATACATGCATTGTGCGTGAACCTCGATTCAAGGAATATGAGTCTAAAAAATCACATAACACTATTTTAAAATTCATATTTGAGTTATATAATAAAAGTTAATGAAAAAAATTGTAAAACTATGAAACTAATGATTGTTGATTTTATTTAACTAACTTAATGAAGGAAAAAAAATGCTCCGCCACGTAAAAGTCATCAAAATCCTTAATTTTAGTTATGCCATAATTAATTATTAATTGTAATTTGATTTGTCCGACATGAAAAGCATTTACGAAGGGTAAGAAAATATATCAACACTTCGTATTAGAATTTCGTACTTTTATAATAGAATGTGTATAATTAAAATTAACACCGGTACTGAAATCTATCAACCCCGTAAGGGTCGTTTGGTTTGAATACAGCTTATGCCGGGATAAGTTATACTGGTATAAGTTATACGGGGTCGTTTGGTTGAAATATAATTTATACCGGTATAAGTTATATTGGATAAGTTATGCAGATATTAGTTATGCTGGGATTATTTTTTGTCCATTGTTTGATATGTTTTATTAAATATGACAATTGCATAATTTGTAAGAAGAATGTATAAGTTATTCCGGTGCTAATTACCCCACCTTCTATAAGATATAAGTTATCTCGATGTTAAAATTAATACCGAAATTTACTAATCAAACAGAGTATTAAGGTGATATTAAATTTTTGTACCACCCTTATACCTTCTTATACCTCATACCAAACGATACCTAAAGGATCACATTGTACTTATAGCATAGTTTGGGACCTGAGTGACGTTTGCTCAAGATTCAAGAAAAAGACCACCACTGTCCAGCACCAAAGATTCACTGCTTCTTGAGTCCTTCCATTTGTACAGAGTAGAAGGGAAAGTGAATCCATGGAACCCCCAACTCAAAATCCTTCTTCTCAGCAACACATGAACAGTAGAAAGAGGCCACTTGACACCTCCACCCCTTATTACAAGATGCGACTCATTGTTAAAGATCTCAGACCTCATGTTATTGAGGTACAAATCTCTGAATAAATTGACTTGTATTGGACTTTTCTTGTTATTATTGCTTGTGGGTGTCCTTCAATTTGCGGTTTTCTCCATTAAATTTCATTGAAATTTGAATTTTAGTTGGAGTGTATTTTTTGCTCTATAAAAATGTGAACTTTTTTGGTTTGTTGTTGCCTAAATTGACTTGTTTTGGACTCTTCTTGTGGTGTCCTTCAATTTTTGGTTTTTCCCATTAGATTTCTTTGGAAGTTGAATTTAGTTGGAGTATATTTTTTTGCTGTATAAAAGTGTGATTTTTTTTTGTTGCATTACTTTGACATCTTTTGGATTCTTCCTGTTGTTATTGCTTGTTGGTGTCCTTCATTTTGTGGGTTTTCCTATTAGATTTCTCTGAAAATTGAATTTTAGTATATTTTTGGGCTGTGAAAATCCGTTCTTGATATTTTTTGTTCTTAAAAGATAAAAAAATATCACATTTCCTATTCTTTTCTCCGGTTTAAGAGTTGTTCTAGCTCCTGTGGTGTTAAAGATTTGACATTTATCTGTGAATAACTTGACTTTGTTTGGACTACTCTTGTTAAAGTTCTGCTCAATGTTGGAGTATAATTTTCTCTTGTGATTTTTTCTCTCCATTTAAAAGATTTTCTAGCTCCGAAGGTGGTAGAAATGTGACATTTATCATACTAGGGCTTTTGGGTTTTATAAACATTTTAGTGCAATTTATCCATGTATTTACTAGTTGTTGAAAGAAACTATAGTAGCAGCAGTAAGCCAGTAATGTTATTCTTCTTCATGCAATATGATTTACGAGTATTAGTTATACTATACAAGTTGGCATGTTGGGAATAGGATTCCTGGGTGATGAAGTAGGTTCAGAAAATCGTAGAATTCTGTATGGTTTAGAGCAGGTTAGCTGTTTCAGTGAATAATATTTCACTGTATTAGTTGAAGGTGATCTGCATGAAGAGAACTCTGCAAGTTTGTAAAAATGCAGTAACAATGTCATTTTTTACTAACCTGACTAGTACTTGAGAAGCCACATCGCTGTCTCTGTAAATAGAATTTCCTTTTAGAAAGAAGTCCAGAATTTGGCATAATTTCGCCAACTGTTTTGGCTTTTCTCTGTGTGTGTCAGCTATGACCTACTCTGTTAAAATGTAAATTCTCTACTTTTTGGTATACTTCTTGTATACGGGAGTTCTCTCCCTTTTGATTAATACAATTTATCTTATAAAAAAAAAAGACCTACTCTGTTAAAATGTAAATTCTCTACTTTTTGGTATACTTCTTGTATACGGGAGTTCTCTCCCTTTTGATTAATACAATTTATCTTATAAAAAAAAAAGACCTACTCTGTTAAAATGGTCTATAAATAGAACTTAGCTTCTTTATTTTGAACCTGATGGTGCTTACTTATCCAAGATCAAACCATTCAGCAGTAATTGAAAACTTAAGGGTGCTTTGTAGAAAGGTGCTTTTCAAATTTATACGGAGGAAATACTAGTGTACAGATACTCTTTTTCCATAAGCATGTATAGAAACAATTTTTCTTCTCTTTTTATTGAAAACATTTCAATAACAAGAGCTCTTTAGTAAAAAATTCTAACAGTTTTGTAGAAAAGGGCTATTTCCGTAAAGAGCATAGTGTTATGTTTCGAAAGCCACTTTCATTCCCACCATCTCCTGGTGCTCCTCTACCTCTCCCTAGCGTCACTCCCCCTCCACCGATGCATACTCTCTGTCCATCTTCTTTTTTCTTTTCGGACTTGTATAAGAGACATTTTGTTTCACACTGGATGCTCTTCATTTTTCCTTTCGTTCTGAATTTCTCTAACGTCTAAGTACTGATAGTAAGGAACAAACACAAAAACTCTTTGTTTCTAAACCTATAATGAAAGGATTTCTATCTTGCTAAATGAACTAGCTTCTTCTGCATATTTTTCCTTGTGTATGCTCCCTGGAAGCATCTAAAACAAACAAAGTTGGCGAGATTTAAAGAGGTTAGAAACTACATAAAGAGTGACAAGGCAAGAGTTGCCATTTTTCTTCTTGCGACTGCAAGTCTCTACTATTTCTGGTTGTTTATTAGGGTATAGGTTAGGTAGGTATTTATATAAAAAGGGCAGCCCAGTGCATGAAGCCATGAAGCATCCCGTGTTCACGCAGGGTCCGGGGAAAGGACCGTACTCCAAGTGGATGTGATGTAGGAAACCTATCATGACGCAAGAGTTAGTTGATTCCACGGATCGAACTGGTGACTTATACATCATCTGGAGATAACTTAACTGTTCCTCTCAGGCTTCCCTTCTAGGTGTTTATATCTGGTTTCTATTATAATCCAGCTTTGGTTCTTGAACTTTGACAAACATGGGCATGAAGTGGCTTAGTACTAAATCTAAAGCTATTAGTCTATGACTAATAATCCAAGACAAGCTGTAAAGTCGCGGTTGATACAGTAAGCATTGTAATACAGTACATTATGCAAATAATTTTCAGTTGTGACACTTTACCTGATATATGAATCCAGTTAGGTTTTGACATGCTTCCAATAGGTTCCTTGAGTATCATAATGAATTTAATCTATCTCAGTCCATTTCAAACGTGTGTAAACTGTAGGTGTCTATTAACTGGCACTAATGTGGTTAGAACCTGTGATTGTGCTTGAACTTATTTCAATATAAGATATAAAATCCTTTGTTCCATTAAGCTGCTTGGATGTGCCATAATGGGGAAAGTTTCTCTCCCCATGCATTGGATCTGAATGTCTTACGGAACTGAGGACTCACCTTTGCCTTGAGCTGAAAACTGTAAATGGTTTCCAATTGCTAATTTGATGTAAGATCTTGAACCAGAATAAGAGAAGCATTATGCGCAAAAATGTATATATATCATTTATAATTCTCTGGTTAGCTTGTTAAAGTTCTGTAGATTCATTTTTGTAAAATGAGACCTCAAGCAATGCATAATGATACCCTAAACACCTAGAGGTCTTATCTATAAGCACAAAATGACACTGGGAAGAAAGTTGTAAAAGGCCAATCCATGGAAAAACTCACTTTTTCTATTGCCTTCATGAATGTTAACTCATTTTATTGGATGTTATAGGAGCTTACTTTTATTTGTCATCTTGAAGGTTCTTCGGACTCCTGACTTCCGGAATTGCAAGGCTGCTACCGAAATTCGTCAACGTAAGCTTCCTATCAAATTTATTCTTTTCGATTTCTTATTTGAACAGTTGTATGAAATACATCACCAAGTTACTAGCAATTTAATCCACACTAATCACGAGATTATGTACATGCTAGTGCATTCTCTTCTTTTCTGTTTTCCTGATACTAATCTAATACATCATGTGAAAGTTCTGGAGTCAGTAAGAAATGCATGGCGGTTTACTGCATTATCTCTATAGTTACATGGTTGTTTGTTGCTTTGTTTTCTAGTGTGCCTAGTTTTAGTACAAGCTGGTTAGTTGCAGCATGCTAGGAGTAGCGAGGTACTTTAGTGGTTAAGCCATTTCTTCCTCTGGAGCTTATGCCTTGTACATTAATTTACATAGCAGCAGTTTTCAGCTATTCATTTAGGAAATGCTTGGATTTTATTGAACTTGTATTCAGTGTGATTCACTGTCGCTGGCACTTGGATGTATCTTAATTGAAGACTGTTTAAATTCCATTAGGCATGATCTGCATAAGGCGCATTTGTTGTGCTACTTTGAATGGTCAGGCTTTCTCTCACCTCAGGTGAGACATATTTAGCTATAGCAATTCAAATGCCTGGCCATGGATATGGTTATTTGTTGTTATTGGAACCATGCCTATGTGTCTGCTCTTTTAATTTTTTGTTGTCAAACCATGATCAAGATTTTCAGCATGACAATCAAATTGTTATTATTATATCAGACATTTATCCTCATGTGCATGTAAATGCTGGTATGCAGAGTTGAATCTCCTAATGGATCTTCACAAGGAGATGATGACTGAAACAGTAAATCCAGAGGCAGCTAAGGATGCACCTGGAGCTCAGCCTATGTCTGTGGATATCAAGGACCGAGAAAAGCCTAGCGAGCAGCAGAAAGACACGAAGCCTCCAGAAAATGGGACATCTGCAAAAACTGAAGCGAATTCATCTCAGAAACAGCAAGCTGGAGATGATGTTGTCCAAGGGACATATGTCGTTGGAGGTTCAGCATTTGGCTGGAACTTTATAACATACACCAGCGGGCATGCCATATACTATGGACGAACTAAAGAGTCCTTCCGAGCTGCAAATGTTAAATCTGAATAAAGTGCCTTAGGTACACTTACAGCACTCTACTTTTGGAAATTACAATGGTTTGATGTGTGTGTACTATAATAGATTGGAATATTTGGCATTACAAAAGTTCAGACTTCAGGGTTAGTCTTATGCAGCTGCTATTACAACCTGCAACCTCTCTTTCTATCTTCTTGTATGTTCTGAGTATGACTTCTGGTTCGTCTAACGCCTTAAAAATTTCAACCAGGAGCCACCTATAGTTACTTATTTCTCACAACTGGTCTTGCTCCAAGACAATCTCTTTAATTGACAGATGACACTGTCTGTGTAGAAACTTACATCGCTATTCGCTATAGAGTTGCATAAACTGGAATATATTAATGGAAATGAGAGGGAAAAATGATGTTCTTTTAATTGATTCATTAGCCAGCAACATTCAGCAGCAATACTTGCAACAATACAATAAGAAGATTATCTAACAAATCATTGTATAATCAAAATCGACAACCACTCAAACGTGTTAATTACAAGCTGGACACCAAGTTTGATGGAAAAAAAATAAGACAACAACAAGAACCCCAGTGAAATTTCACACGTGGGGTCCGGGAAGTGTAAAGTGTACGCAGACCTTACCCCTATCTAATGAAGGTAGAGAGGCTGTTTCCGAAAGACCCTCGGCTCAAAAGAAGTGAAAATAAAGCAATAAACAGACATTAACAACAACCAGTTAATTAGACATGGGCACAAATGAAGATACGTGCAATTAGACATGGGCACAGATGAAGATACGTGCAACAACAAATATCTAAGAATACGACACTATAAAAATAAATTCAGTCTTGCTGGAAATAATGTCTCAATATGAAATAGCAAGGGGCTAGGCAGAGAAAAATATAAGACTAGCACTAATACTACTGGGATGCCTAGATGAAACTCTAGACTGCCTGTTAACTCACAACCCTAATTCTCAACCTCCCCACCCTCCTATCGAGAGTCATGTCTTCGGCAAGTTGAAGGCGCCATGTCCTGCCTAATCACCTCACCGGTACTTCTTTTAATTGATTCATTAGCCAGCAACATTCAGCAATGCTTGCAACAATACAATAAGAATAATATCTAACAAATTATTGTATTGTCAAAATGAACAACCTCTCAAACATGTTTACAAGCTGGACACCAAGAAGGGGAAAAAAATGAAAGTAAAAAAAATCAAGACAAGAATTTTAAATCACAAAATAAGAGTATTTGTCTTGGATTTAAATGAGAAAAACCTTTTCAAACTTATAAAAAACACAAATATTTTAGGTTAAAGCAATCAATAATAGTATAAAATTTTAAGTGATCAGAATTCCTCTATAATTGGTGGTTGCTCATTATCATCAGGCTCCTTGTCTTGTGGCTGCTCATCTTCTGCCTTTTCAGTTGGCTCTTGCTCTTCATCTGCCTTTTCAGCACTATTCTTCTTGTTATTAGCAGCCTTGAGGACATGTTGGTAATTTCCTTTCTCCATGAAAAGTTGAGCAAAATGGTGTTTGCAGTAGAGAACTCCATCAAGTGCAGCATATGTTGCATGAGTTAAGGGACAACCTCCATGTGCACACTTGAAGCATGATTTGTGGAAAGCTTCTCCCTCCATTGTTACCTAACAAATCATCATTATGAGATGAGTTTATAGAAGCTAGTATTCAACACAAAATCATATTGATCGGACATGTTTGGTATGAGAAAAATCACTTTTCGAAAATTACTTATTTTGGAAAATAATTCCTTAAAAATGTTTTCCACTGTTTGGTTTGGTTGGAGAGTGAAAATATTTCCAGGAAAAAGCATATATTGTATTAAAGATTGATAGGAGTAATAGTTTTTTGATGAAAATATTAGCAAATTGGGTACTGTTTAATGAAAATTTTGAGTATTAAAGACAGACAATAAATATTGATTAAAGATGGATAATAAAATTTGGATAATATAAGCAAAATGGTTTGATAAAAGTAAAATTTTCGGGAAAATACTCTTTTTCTGGAAAATAATTTTTTAGACAATATTTTTCACTGTTTGATAAAAAATACTTTGGTTAAAGCAAAATAATCCCGATGGAAAATAACTTCTGCGCTCAACAGTGAGAAAAGTCATTTTCTCTTGAGAATGTTTTATGGCAATCAAACACCAGAAATGACTTATATTTTGAAAATTTATATTTTCCGAAACATATTTTCCTAAAAAAAATAATAATTTCATACCTTTTCGAGAGGGTAAACAGTTTTGTTGCAAGCAGCACATTTGTCTTGAGTTCCAGAAAACAAGGCTGAGAGTTTGCTTGGAGCCCTTGTCTACACAAAATTATGGCATTTAATCATTAGGAGGGTTGAACTAAAACACAAAAAGAAAATATTTAGAATGTTTTTAATGATATCCTAAAAATAACAATAATAATATTGTGTCTCAACTCCAAATAAGTTGAAATTGGTTGTATGAATTGTCATTACCATGTTTTCTTGTTTAATGACAAGAAAAGAGAAATTTAGGGAGGGTTAATATCAATCTTAAGACATGTAAAGATCCAGTATAATATTATTTACATGTGAAGTTTGAGACAACGTACCAGCGAATTTTCCCTCTCAGGTTTGGCTACATAAATTTAAAAAAATAAGGTTAAAATTGATTAGTAAATATAAAGAAATTGAATACTGTGAAACCTTGCAAATAAATCATGAATTATGAGAAAATGATGTCTTACAAGCAGTCTGAAAATTCTTGCTAAAATTTCCAGATTCCTTAAAAAGTTGTTCGAAATGTGGCTTGCAGTAGAGTACTCCATCCATTGAGGAATAATTGCTCATCTGTCCAAAATCACCACAACTACATTAATTTAAAAAGTCAAATATACAGAAACGATAAAGCAGTTACTAATGCTTGTATTAGGATAGACTGTCTACATTGCACTTCTTGGGATACGATCCTTTCTCGTACCTTGCGTGAATACGGAATACCTTATGCATCGGGCTACCTACCCAACTAAAATACACAGAAACAAGGGTCTAGTTTTTTTCTTAATTCTTGATGATTAATTTCATTGACAACTTGGTCTATCTTAAGGCCAATTTAGCATGGATTTTCAATGAATACATGCCTTCAAGATCCCATGTTAGGTAAGAATATTACACATTTTTTTAAAATATAGTCACAATGCTAATATTGTCACTATATTTAATTTTTGTAACTGGATTCTTTTTCCTTTTCTATTTTATATTTAAAGGTGAGGAGAGGTTGGGGGTGGGGCCAAACAGGGCAAGAATCAGAGGCCGGATTTAAAATTTGTGAGTTCGAAATTCTAAATCTTTTAAGTTGCTGGTTCTGAATTAATACTTTACGTATATCCAATGAGTTTTTTAAGACAAATATATGATTTGGACCAAAACTGTTGGATTTGGCCGAACCTGCAGGTTCTACTCTCTCTTCGCCCCTGAACAAGGCAATAACACAAACAAATTATAGAAGACAAGGAAAACTATAGATCGATAAAAAGCAAGATTCTTTTACCATATGTTGAGCAAAAGAAATATATTAGTAACTACGTATCCATTTCAAATAAATTGGGGTCGATACATAAAGGAAGAATATAGCGGTACATTTACCGTTAACGTAAAACTTGTCAAGTCACGAAGTATAGCAAATAAAGAGTTAAAAAAGTAAGAGAAAGGTAATTAATTAAACATACCACAAGAGTGCCTTTGCAATGGCTACATTTGAAACAGGATTTATGGAAAGTAGCTCCATCAGCAGACAATAAATCAACAAAATAAACTGTCTTATCACAAGCTTTGCATTTATCCAATGTACCTGTAAATGCCATTTCCTTCTCCTTTTTTCTCTTCTTTTCTTCTTCTCAATATAAATTTTTCAATGTGAAATGGCAGAGAAAAAAAACTTTAATAATCCAATCTTTCCTTCTTATATTTAACTTTCTTGATCATTGACATTAAACAAACAAACAAACGAATAAATTGTCCTGACCGATAATGTAGAATTATTCACATTTTTTTTTTTTTGAAGAAAATAATTTATTGAATTACACCGATAAAAACACGACACGTGATTGGGAGATCCACATAATAGGAGGTGAAATTGATGGAATTTAGTAACCTCTAAAAAATTGTGGATATAATTCTCTTAAATTGGAGTGAAATGAGGCCCTTTTCTAACTCTTTACCACGACAAATATTGTTTTTTTTTCTTCTTTCTTTGAGGTAGTTAACTTATTAGGCTGAACCGTTTTCATTACTCTACTTTATCCTTTCCTTTATTTTCTTTTCTTTTTCTTCTGTCTATTTTCCCGAATTTATCTTTTAAATAATACTATGATTAATAATTTTTAAAAGTTCTTGCTATCGTAAGAGTGTTTTACTCCCTCCGATCCACAATAAATGATTAATTTGCCTTTTTATTTTGGTCCAAAATAAGTTTTACTCATCACATTAAATTATGCTTCAATATTTAATTTAGGGTAGTTTAGTCACACTAATTATTTTTGTCTAGAATTTAGTATTTTCTTAATGGGTGTGCCCAAGCAAATTGGTCATTCATTGTGGAATGGAGGGAGTAACAGTTTTACGTAAAAATAGCACGGTCTAGCCAGTTTTCGGACTGGTCATTCAAAAATAGTCAGCGTTTACCAAGTCAATAAAAAATAGCCACTATTTTGCTGTAACAGAGACCGGTCCAGCATAATATACTGGGTGCACCTGTGTATGAACTTCCAGTATATTATGCTGGAGCAGTATACTTTGCTGGCTCCAGTATAATATACTGGAGACTGGAGCATCGGTGCTCCAAACTTCAGTATATTATGTTGGACAGGGTATATTATACTGGAACTCCAGTATATTATGCTGGAGTATTTTTCCAGAGTTTGAACAATGTTTTCATTTAGATTTATCTTTATATAAAAAGTGGCTAAATTTCAATTACTTTTGAAACTGGACTATTTTTGAACGACCAATTGTAAATTTGGCTATTTTTGAATTTCACCCCCGTTTTACTAACGTATAAGAGTCACCAAAATCACAGACTTAATTAGTAGTATGTTTACTCAGTGGCGGAGCCAGAATTTTCATTAAGGAGTATCAAAATATATAAAAGTAAACATATTGAAAAATTAAGGGGAGTCAATACATAGTATATATATAAAATTTTCTTTTTGCCTACTTACACAATGTATTTTTTCCACGAAGGTGACTCCGCCTCATTCTTAAGAGCTCATTCGAGTGAATAAACTTTTTATTATTGTGTAATTTTTGCAAAGAATATACAAAGCGAATATGATAAACGTGATTCACATGCGTTTTGAGGTAGGTAATGAACCGTTCGACGGATGGTTTTAGCTTGCATCGTATTTTAAAAATACAATTACATGCGATATATAAATTGTGAATTGTAAATCACATTTCAGAAATGCTACTTATAATTCTTATTACGTAATGAAAATTATAAATTGTATTTTGGAATGCGACTTATATATCACAATTTTAATGCGACTTGTAAATTGTGATTCAGGAATATAACAACGAATAAGAATAAATCACAATGTAGAAATGCGACTTATAAATCGTAAAAACGGAATGCGACTATATTGGAATGCAACCAACGCGACTATAGTAGAATGGAACCAATGTGATTTGATGCGACTTACAGCTTGTTTGGATGGTTGTTATATATCGTTTTATTGTATTGTATTGTATTGTATTGTACTGTATCGTTTTGATATTTACAATAATTGAATAGATTGTATTGTTTGTCACCATTTCGTGATGTCATGCACTGATAATATGAAGAATAAAGTTGCAATATTATAAAGAAAATATAAACGAGGTAATATTATTATATAAAAAAGTAAGGTAAAGAATAAAATAGGATTATTTAATAATAAAAGGGTGCAAGATGAGAGAAAAAAGAAAACGACGTGATTACACCAAATCGCTCGTTCCATAAAGTGACACTTTTCATCGTTACATAACGAATGATTTAAACGATACGATACAACAAAATTTAAGTAACAATCAAAATAAATATTATATTTAAAGTAATAATACTATACAATACAAACACATCCAAACAAGCTATTAAAATCGCAATATTAGAATACCACTTATAAATCACAATAGTGTAATGCAGCTTATAAGAGGGTATTTGGCTAAGTTTATAAGCAGGTCAAACTGGCTTATAAGCACTTTTTGGCTTATTTACGCGTTTGGTAAAATTAAAAGTGTTTATAAGTTAAGTGTTTATAAGCCAAAAATAAACCAAAAGCCATAAGTTAGTCTCTCCCGACTTATCAAATTTCAGCTTATAACCACTTTAAATTTAACCAAAATATTTACTATTTTATCCATAAAATATTCTTTTTAAAAAAAAAAACTCTTTATACCTAGTTCTTATTTTTTAAATCAACACCTAATACTTCACATTAAATCGTGAATGCGACTTATAAATCGCCCTGCTACTTCACATTAATTGCTTTGCAAGTTGGCGTTGCCTCCGGTCGCCGGCGGTTGCCATAATCGGAAGATTCACATTTAAAAATTCTTCTATACTGTCTTTTCTTATTCTGGTTGATGTCCCACTTCCAACCGAGAGGTTGTGAGTTCGAGTCTCCCTTGTTGATGATGTCTCCTTTTAGTATTATGGATTTGAGAACTCCATAGATAACCATATTGGTTATGAATTCGAGATCAAAATATCCGCCGCCGTGGATGAGTGGTGGACATGGCAGTGGCGGTCGGAGCATGCATCCTAATGCTAACCCTATCTTTCAACAGAGAAATCATCAGCAGAGACGTTCAGCGCCATATCAGTAGCAGTATTTTCAGAACCAGCAAACACAGCTGACGGAAGGCAGAGTTCCTTCACTCTTTTTTTTCCTTCCTTTTTGACGAAATTATAGATTTTTTATCAATTCATAAATTTTATTAATGATTGGAGGAAAACATGTCTTTATAGAAGAATTATACCAAAAAGTAGAAGACATACAAAGTTATATAGACCTCTAGTAGTCTAGTGTTAGACAAATTATTGAATACTGGATTGACGACAATTCTAAATGGAGTGATATAGACAGTAAGGATGTATAACCCAAACAAGTTTGGAATCGAGGCGTAGCTGTAGCCTGTATTTTTTTTTTTTCCTTTTTTGGTGTCTTTGGTTCTTATGGTATATATTGTTCATATTGAAAGTTGTCGGACGAGTATAAGATTGAGCTGAATTATCATGGACTTGTTGTTGGTTGAGAACTAGTAATAACTAGATTAAATATGTTAAGTTAGAATTGAATCATCGATTATTGGAGAATAGTTGAATTGGCATTTTAGTGGGTGTCAATGTTTTGTATAGCTGAACGACTTCTCTTGCTAAATCTTTTTAAGTTAGTTTGAGTTGCTTGTAAGAATCTTCTAGCTGGATAGCAAAGTTTCTGGTTCTCAAGATATTAGCGCGACGTTTAGGGCCTTAAACTGCTTTTCCAAGATGTCTATATACACGTCTTGACCTGTACCAGCATTCATTTTAGTTTGTTGATTAATAACAAATAATATGCTTTTCGGTAGGGCTCGCTTTTGAGCTCCATTGAAGTAGGTTCAAACTGAAATCTAGTTGGGCTTGAGAACTGCACTTTCATGTTGAGGTAAATTTGAGCCATGACTATGAGTTCAATCTCAAATGAGTTAACTGCATTTCATTCCTTTCCTTTCATATGAAGCACTAATAGTCCTCCATGTTTAAAATATTGGACTTTTATTCCCCTGCCTAACCTTTGTTTAAATTTTAATCTATTGTAATATTCAGACGTACATTTTTAAATTTAATACACATTTTAATAGTCAGTTGTTTTATTCTGATTCAGATGTTCTTATTCAACGGAAAGTACAAGTAACCAACTCTATAACCGAAGCCAAGAGACAAGAAACTAACAACCATATAACCACAAGAAATACATTGGAAACTCCGTATGCTTTAACTATTTGTTGTTGCCCTTTGCTTGAACTTCCGTTCGATGCTGACTTGTATTATGTTGGAATTACTGTCATCTTGGTAAGCTTAGATGGTTCCCAATTCTCAAGTGAATATATCCAGCAATAAACAGTCCAACAAAGCTCTGTTAATTGCAGAAAAGAACTAACTCCAGTAATTCTTGATTGAATCACCAACCAATATCATATGGCAAGTTTGGAGGTACTATATTTCCCCCCTTTTTTACTATCAATTACATATACTTCACAAGGTGGTTTAATTTATCGCTAAATTTACTATATTGTTTTAATTGCAGACTGTAATCATGATTGGATACTCCTTTTGTTAGATAAGTTATATGTCTAATTCCGTTGGCTTACTTATCCAAGAAAATATATTACTTTTGGGTTATTATTGTTGTATGATCTTGGACAATTCTCACCTCATAAGCTAGCTTTTAGGGTTGAGTTAGGTCCAAGGTCCATTTCTTATTAGTTATCTTTGCATTTGAGAGGGTTGGACAGCTATAGGCTATAGCCATAGGAAGAAAGAAGTTCAAAGGAGGAGTAAAGGATTTGTTGATTTCATAGATTGATCATAGGTATGAGAGTTATAGCAGGTCACAGCCTTTTATGACTGATGGTAGCTTTATGTTTTCAATCAAGAAGGATGTTTATTAAGAATTAATGAACATTGTGCTATATCTACACAAACTTCTATGTGTTGGAACCCTTTTTAGCTGCTTGCTTGTAGTCTTTTACATGTGATGGAGTTCTATGAATGTGGATTACTTGAAGGTTGCTGGATACTTATTTCCTTATCTCGATTTTAGAAGTAATTTAAGCAGTGTTCTGATATTCTGAAGCTGCATTCTATTGTGCCAAGGAGGTACAAAAGTCCACAGTTGAACATCTCTCTTCTCAGCCAAAATTAAGTGGACCCTTCGCTTTACCTTGACCTTTCTGATTGAAAGTAGCTTAAAGGGTCCTCCAAAATATATGAATGTGCCGGAGTGGGATATACATCTACACCAGACACTATATTTTTTTGCTTAACATTAGTTGGAGAAAGGTGTGCTTATTTGGGGTAACAACAGTTTTCTAGTGCTAATGTCTTCTCTTTTGAGTAGTGGCAGGTTTATATTAAAGACTTTGGTGCGCCTGGCTCCTGCCTGTAGACTTTGTTAAAAATAGCACTACAACGGAAATTCCTATAATTCATTTTCTTTCACACAACTAAAAGCAGGCATCTTCTTCTGTTACCAGTGCTTCACAAGTTCCTCGATGGAACTATGATGTCTTCCTAAGTTTTAGGGGTGAAGATACCCGCAAAACGTTTGTAAGTCACTTATACCATGCTTTGAAAATCAGTGGAATTCACACATTTCTGGATGATAAAAGAGTAGAGCATGGGACTTCAATCCCACAAGAACTTGATAAAGCTATTGAAGAGTCTCAAGTGGCCGTTATCATTTTGTCAAAGAATTTTGCTTCATCTTCGTGGTGCTTAATGGAATTACTGAAAATCATGGAATGCAAGAAGCAACATGGACAAATTGTCATCCCAGTTTTTTATCATGTGGATCCATCAGAAGTTCGACATCAAAAGGGGAGCTTTGCTAAAGTCTTAGCTGAACACGAATCAAAATATAAGGATGATGATGGAATAGAAAAGGTGCGAAGATGGCGAAATTCTCTGAATGAAGTGGCCACTATAAAGGGTCCCGATGTCTGCAATAACTGTGATGGGTAAGTTAAGTATACATAGTGCTTCTATGAAATCTAAAGATGGAATTTACTATAATAATCCATTATGACTTTAGCTGATAACTATCCTCTCAATTGATTAACAGGCTGAAAATGGGTTAAGAATCAAAACTAAATCAACTCATTGTATGTAGAAACACAAATAAAAGAAAAGGCGAAAATCAGTTTAGTGCCTCATTTTTAGTTTATTTTGATGATCGGACATATTGATAAATAAGGCGGGCCTTCAAGTTTTTGATCTATGTGATTACTCCTTTTACATATTCACTTTCAATCAAGCAAATTTTATCTGTTTCTATGACCTTGTCATCATTGCAGGATTGAATCAGAAATCATTTTGCAGATTGTTGACAAAATTTCGTCCAGCTTACGCAATGCTGTTTTGTCCTCTAGAAAAGATATTGTGGGAATAGATACTCACCTCGAGCAAGTAAAATCCATGCTAGAGATGGAAACTGACGGTGTTCGAATGATTGGGATCTGTGGCATGGGAAGAATAGGCAAGACAGCAATTGTAAGGGTCGTTTTTGACGAACTTTCCGATCAATTTGATGTTGTTTGTTTCCTTGCGGATATTAAGGAAAATGAAACAAGATATCAAATACATTCTCTGCAAAATACCCTGCTTTCTAAATTGTTGAGAAACAAAGATGATTACGTCAATAATAAGGATGAGGGAAAGCACATGATAGCGGTAGACTCCGTTCTAAAAAGGTTCTAATTGTCCTTGATGATGTTGATCATGGGGACCATTTGGATTACTTAGCTGGAGATCATGGTTGGTTTGGTAAAGGCAGTAGAATTATCGTTACAAGTAGAAACAATCATTTGCTTGGTAAGACTGATGCCATATATGAGATAACTACACTTGCTAACCGTGATGCTATTCAATTGTTCAATCAACATGCTTTCAAGAAAGAAGTTCCTGATAAGTGTTTCGAGAAGCTCATATTGGAGGTAGTAAGTCTTGCTAAAGGCCTTCCTATAGCACTCAAAGTTTGGGGTTCTTACTTGCATAAGAGAAGCATAATTGAGTGGAGAATTGCTGCAAAACAGATGAAGAATGATTTCAGTTTCGAAATTTTTAAAAAGCTGAAAATAAGTTATGATGGACTGGAGCCCATAGAGCAAGAGATATTTCTAGATATAGCATGTTTCCTACGAGGATACGAGAAACATTATGTTGAAGAAATCGTCAAGAGCTGTCACTTTGGTTCTACTCTTGGTTTGAGTGTCTTAATTGAAAAATCGCTTGTGTTTATCTCTAAAGAAGGTAGAATTGATATGCATGATTTGATACAAGAAATGGGCAGATATGTAGTGACCATGCAAAAGGATCCTGCAAAGCGAAGTAGACTATGGCTCAAAGAAGATTTTGTGGAACTGATGAATAACAACATGGTAAGTAAGCTAAATAATGCTCAAAAATTATACTAATTTTTCTCTCATATTCGAAGATATATTGGATATATTCAAATTCCAAATCCTTCCCAGTCTTGCATACATGGATCTGGTTTTGTTTAAATTTTTGAATCACGTCACTTGTGTATGTTAGTCGACAGAAAGCAAAATGAACTACCTGATGCAGCAAATACATTTTCATACTTTTTTGAAGCTTGAACCTCAAGTTTCCACATTTTCTATTTACCCTGTTTCATTCTTCAAGTCAAATTTCTATTTGCATAAATTGGTACATAACTTCTTAATATAGAGTTCGCTCCGTCACTGAAATTCTAAAAAGTTTACAAATTGACATAATATTTTAAGTAGAAAAGTACTCCCCCTGTGGTCATCTTGTAAGATCGTATTTGACTTGACTTAAATTTAAGATGTTATAGTAATCTATGTATTTCATTAGTAATAGTATAAAAGATGTTAAAGTAATGGTTGAAAGCTAGAATGATAGAAAAAACCATTGCCTCAAAGTTTAAAATTTGAATACTTGAAATAAATTTAATCCCTTGAAATTGTGAAATTTTGCATACAAATAGAGTTGTCTATATCACAAATGAAAGGACTTTATATATATGTAGAGAGAGAGTCAAGATGTAGCTTTTTAGGAACGAATTCATCTGCACCCTATATGTATATATGTGTGTGTATGTGAAAGTTCACTAAATTTGAACAAGTATTAGATCAAAACCCATGATTTTAGAAGTACAATGGATTAAGCTCTAAGAACCTTAAAGGTTGAACCAATCCAGCTTAAATCATGTTTAACACTGTGAGGAGTAAGGAAACTAAAGTAACCATATTTGGGATGATCTTATACTGCATTTTCAATTATCCACTGTAGACAAATATTAATGATCTTGTTTACCAGGGTAGCGAGACAATGGAAGCAATCTGGATCAACTGTACCACGGACCATTCAATCAATAGCAAAGCGGCTCTGAAAAATATGAAGAGGCTTAGGATATTACACATTCTGACACGTGGTAAGCCTATCAAATTTCATGATGGATCCATTGAGTACCTGTCAAACAATTTGCGTTGGTTTTGCTGGGATGTCTACCCTTTAAAGTCATTGCCAGCTAAATTTGAACCCAAAAGGCTTGTTCATCTGGCACTTCCGCGTAGTTCATTGCATCAATTATGGATGGAGAAAAAGGTAGTATAGTTGAATATTATTTCCTTCCTGTTATCTCTATATCTAACAATCACTATCTTTCAGTGATGAATAAAAACCATTGACTTTCTCACATTTGCTTAACATAATTTCTACTTTGACATGTCCAAATTTATGATGCATGACAACGCCAAATCATGGCTCCCCCTCATTATAAGCTCAGTTTTCCATATTTTTGTGAACAGTATTTGACAGATTTAAAGTCCCTCGATCTTTCCATGAGTACAAGCTTAATGCACGCACCAGATTTCACAGGGATGCCAAATTTGGAGATTTTGAGACTGTCAGGATGTGCATATCTCGAAGAGGTTCACCATTCCCTTGGATATTGCAAAAAGCTCATCATGTTAGATTTTTCTTGGTGTACAAGACTTGAGAGGCTTCCAAGTATTTTTCACACGGGATCTCTTAAATATCTGAACTTAAGACACTGCAATCATTTGGAAAATTGTCCAGAAATCCCCCAAAGCATGAATTGCTTGTCAGAATTAGATATGAGCGGAACAGGGATAACAAAACTACCATCATTTATTAGATACCTAAGTGCCCTTACCGAGTTAGACTTGTTTTCCAATGTTTTGGTAACTCTTCCAAGCAACATTTGTAGGTTGAAAAATTTGAAGTCTCTATGTCTTGTGAAATGCTCAGAACTTAAAAGCTTGCCAGAAGAGATAGGGGATTTAGAA